AGGTGTGTTCTACATCTTGTTGTAAATCTTAAGGACTTGGGCATGAAATCGAAGGACACTCATGTTTTGAGAAACTTGCTCCAAGCTGATTGTTATAAATATACAATAGCAGAATGGAATGATTACATGAAAGAGATAATATGACATTGATCCAAGGGCATACAACATTGCTGTGAACTACTCTCCTGATCAGTGGGAAAATGCATTCTTTCTGAGAATAAGGTAATGTTATACATCACGTTTAGATTTGATGAAATAAGAATGAAGCTTTTTGTCACTGAATTTAAGTTTTGTCTCGTAACTGTTAACTTTCATATAGAAAATGATAATATTTACAATATAACTGTTAACGTCCACTCTAGAACTGCTAACTTATAATATTTAACTATTAACTATCAATAGTTCTCTGATAACTTATATGGTTTAACTGTTAACTATTAAATGTTAAGTGCTAACTACTAATTGTGTTTCTTTAAAGTATACTGTAAAATGCAGTTGTTCTATATCTACGATCATATATGAACATTCTCATTTACCATGTTAACTATGATATATAGCATGTTAATCTTAACTAGTAAATTAATAACAAAATTCAGTAAGCTGTTAACTATATTTAATTATTTGTTAACTGTTATATATAACCTATTAACCAACACAGTTATCCTGTTAACTATAAGTCATTATCTGTTAACTGTTATATGTAAGCTGTTGACTAAAATCAATTATCTGTTAACTCTTATTTTAAAACTATTAACTATAATCCCTTATCTGTTAGCTAATATTTATAATTTGTTAACTGTCAACATTTAACATGTATATGTCCTGAAATTGTTAGCTATATATATGAACTGTTAATGCTATATATATAACCAGATATTGTATAACTGTTAATGCTCTCCTAATATAATTTTAGGTATAAGCGCTTAACATCTAATATCGTTGAGTCTTTTAATAATTGAATAAGGGAGGCTAGAATGCTACGAATTCTACAAATGATTGAGCATATTCGTAAACAAATAATGGTCCGAATGAGTAATCACAGGGTACTTGTAGATAAATTAGGTGGAAATCTCTGTCCAAAAGCAGAGATGGTGCTTAAAGAAAATATAGAGAAAGACCGTCCATTGGATGTTAAACAAGCTGCAAATGACATATTTGAAGTGCAATCACATAAAACTATCCGGGTTGATTTGGAGAAGAAGACATGCACTTGTCGTGTTTGGAACGTCATGTGAATTCCTTGCAAGCATGCATGTGCAGTCATCTTTTACATGAAGAGATACATTTACCAATATTACGATTGGTTTATGTCTATAGAAGCATTTAAAAGGAGATATGAGCCCAATTTTCTATCATATACCAGATTTTGAGAAGCGAAGTGCGCCAAGGGATGAGATCGAGCTACTTCCACCACATACTGTAAAAAGAAAGGGGAGAAATAAAACATGGCGTATCAACAATAGAACAATTAACAAACAGCCTTCGAAATGCTCTTGATGCCACACCGAAGATCACAACCGAGCAACTTGCAACGAACCGATCGCCTATTGATATTAGGAATGTGAAACACTTTTGCGCAACGAACCGATCGCTGCTTGATATTAGAGTTGTGAAACACTTTTGGGCAACAAACCAATTGCTGCTTGATATAAGGATGTGAAACACTTTTGTATGTATGTAATAGCTATGCATATGAACTGAAATACTTTTATATATATGTGAACTATAACCAGAATGTGATATAAAAATGATGTACAAATTTGCCCTATTAGCTATGATAATACTTATGTATGTAATAGCTGTGTATATGAACGTTCTTATTTACCATCACTACAACACCTGAAATCTACCATAGCGGCCGAAAAACGCTATGGTATTATTTCATAGCGTTTTAATACTACAACACCTGAAATCTACCATAGCGGCCGAAAAACGCTATGGTATTATTTCATAGCGTTTTAATCAACGCTGTGTCAGAACCCGCTATAGTAGGTCTGTGGCTTTACATAGCGTTTCCCCAAACGCTATCAAAAAGTTTCCAACCATAGCGTTTTTATGTAGCTGTAAAAGAGTATTCAATAGCGTTTCTATATTGCTAAGACAAATATCTTTCATAGCGGTTGAAAAACGCTATTAGTTAGTTTTCATTCATAGTATTTCAACGCTGCTATTGTCTTACATTTGATAGCGTTTGAGTTACTACAATGGCGTTTCAATGAATGCTATCTTTCTTCTTTTAATAGCATTTCAGCAATTGTTTCCACTTCTTATAGCAGTTCAGTTGTGCCTATAAACCTTTGATGTTAAACTAGAAATAGCTTCCAATTATGACAACCATAAAAACAAATATTTCATTTAAAGGTTCAAACTGATACATAACCAAGTTGTAGCATACAAAAATTAAAACACAAATGTGCCAAAAAATAAATACTAGTCTTTGGATAATTCAACATGGAGTACAAGAAATTAACCATAGTACACAGAACAACAAAAACTAATTTTGTTGCATTACATATGACTTGGGAGACTCATCATCTTCAGCAATTGAGTACTAGTACTGCTGCAAAAATAAAAATTAACAACACCAATAATGAGATCTTAGAGCCATGAATATATGGACACAAAACAGAAAACAACAACACCAATAATTAGAAATCCTAGAGCCATGAAGATCTGGACTAAAAACAGAAATCAACAACCAAAATAGAAGGACTGAAGCAATTCTCATAGAAAAATAAAGATGCATATCTGCTTTACAAGTGGTAAAAGAACTTATCATAAGCAACAAGAGACTAGTCTAAGTGAAAGCTGGAGAGGGAGGGAGAATGGAAGACCACACCAACAAAAGATGCTAATAGAAAAAGAATGAAAAAGATGATTAAAAAAGCTAACATAATTTTTTGGGATATAGCTTGATAATCATAGTTCACTTATATTTCACATAATTTGTTGGATAAGCTGTGAAGCTTTCAACCCTTTCTACTTATCAAATCTCAACAAAAACCCTAGCTGCATTTTTTGTTATTCATATATCCGACGCAAAAATTTTGGGAATAAGGCTTTGTTGTTGTTGTTGTTGTAGACTGCAAGGGGAATAAGTGATGATTCTGATATATGTGAAATAAGTACTTGATATGGATAGTCTGCTACACATATATAACAAGGTTTTTCGTACTAAACATATATAAAAACATTTCATTTTCTTGATTACTAAAAGATGTCACTGATATACAGTAATACAATAGTAAATAAAAATGAAACTCAATTGTTGTCTAGAAAAGTGCATGTTGAACAAATGAGGTTCTGAAAGCAAATTAAGCAAGTAAAACAAGAAGTCTAAGTCTGAAATTCAACAATACGACAATGCTTCGATTTGATAAGAAAAGAAAACTGACAAAGCCATTTGACAGTAAAAGGTTTAACCTTTGTACCACGCTGAAGCAATTCTCTTGCAAATGACAATATGCCCAATATAATATTAGCTCCAGAATTATCAACAAAAATGACAGCCTGTAAAAAGCAGCAAAAATATGAAATTCAAATAGAAGACCATAAACATAAGTAACACCAAAGGATATTCCAGGAATGTCCTACAGGAACTACTGTTAAACAGGAGCTTGCATAATGTATAATTAAAAGAAGAAAATAAATTCTGAAACTGCCATGTCTCTGTCGAGGGGAGCACTACCGCATATTTTAAAACTTCAACCAATGAGCCTTGCACATTTCATGGAGGACTGATGTTTAGAGGAACATGACATGAGGAAACGGAGCTCGATCCACAATCATATGCACTTATAAATCTTTCATGTGCAAGTGAATAGAGTAATTCACAGGAACTATAACTAACATAGTAATTCAATAGAAACTCCCAACCCAAGCCCCAGCTACACTAAAGAGTTAACAAATAAATATCTGAAACTACATAAGAAAGTACACCACCCAAACCCAATGGTCGGAGAGAATCCGAACCCTAAAATAGGCAAGTTAGAAATTAGTGGATTTGAAGTATTCAACTAAAGCCAACATCTAGATTTTGAAGTGCAATTAAAAATCATTAAGTCACCACGTTATTCCTTCAAGATGCAGTTTATGTTTGTCACTGTGATGTGTCCAGTAAATCCAACATTCCTATACCTTATCGATGAAATTTGTAAGTGATAAAACATCAAGGTCTATGAGATATCTCAACACCATTTCCTTTTCTAGATACATGAACTTCACCGACCAGCAACTACCAAAAAATCTCAAGTTTGAAGTCATTCCGTTGTAGCAAATCATAAAAGTGGGAGTATGGAATAGACCATTTACCTTCTTCCATGACTTCTTAGTCCATTTTGTTTTGAAATTTAGCCAAAAAATTCTATAAATCAAGAAAACCCAAATTTTCATCGTTGATTGAGCAAAACTTACATCATTGGATCTCAAAGAGGACATCAAAAACATGAACTTTGCATCTTTAAATCCCTCATAACCAGTAAACACACCCAAAGCATAAATTTTAAAAAATACATAAATCCCTCATAATGTAAAATAAATGAACAGATAACATCTCCTCACATCCAGTAGGCTAGCAAATAAGAAGATTAGCAAAGGGGAAAATGATTTCACATGACAAAATCCTAAATGCTATCATTAATTGATTGAAACAAGACGAAGCTCAAGAACCAAAACTCTAGCATTAAATTGATTCTATTTCATATCATTAATTGATTGAAACAAGACGAAGCTCAAGAACCAAAACTCTAGCATTAAATTGATTCTATTTCAAGTTCACACCAATGAGATCTAGTGCGAAGCTCAAGAACCAAAACTCTAGCATTAAATTGATTCTATTTCAAGTTCACACCAATGAGATCTAGTGCTATGTTTATTTGTATTGCAATGCAAACCCCAAACTTTGTACTCACCATAATAAATTTCAAACATCAATTGGATTTACAAGCAACCCAATAATTTCAATCACAAAGAAAAAAAACTAAGTGTCTTTAAGAAATTACCATATGATTCAGCCCCAAGCCCTATCTCCTGTCTTCCTCACACAATTGCCTCTCCCATCGGCACATCTCTGCTAAAAATTTAACAGAAAATACAATAATTTCATTTGCCATCAATATTCCCATTAGCATAATTGCACACAAATCCAATTAAAAGCCACTAAAAGTACTGAAAATAAACAAATCAAACTAAGAGAAGAAAAACCCATCAACTAAATTCAAAAAACATAATATCTTTGGAATCAAACCTTCAAATTCATAATCGCTCTCAGTGGTATCCCCTTCATTAGCACTAAAATCAGAGTCTTTGGTGCTGATATTGAGCCATTTGCGGATCACAACCTTGGGCCAGAGCTGCAAACAATTAAGCCCAATACGTCTGCAGTTTATTTTTCCCATTGCAATATAAACCGAAAACAAAAACAAAGAGAAAACAAAATAAAACAAAAGATGGAACTTCTATTCATTGCCAACGAGCTTATTTTTGAGTTAGGTATACTCACCTATTTCTGTCGCCTTGATCGCGGAGAGAGGTAGAGGAAGAGAACGAGTGAGAGGGCGGCGGTCGGCGGTTTGGCGGCGGTCGTCCTCCAAACCTCAAATATTCCCATGGTTCTCCAACCCTCAAGAAACAGCAACAAACCCCTCGTTCTCAGATCAAAACAAACCCAAATTAAACGATTGAAAAATCCTGTAAAAAACACCAACAACAAACAATAATAATAAAGAAATCAAAAACTGCATCCTCGATCCGATCCGACGCGAAATCATCATCAGAAATCAGCAGCAGTAGTGATCCCATGTGCCTCGATTCCAACACAACCCTCCGTTTGTAAAAACCCTAGCTTTCTCGAATGAGGAGGAGGCAGGCCTAGCTAGCTAGCTAGGGTTGGCGATGGAGAAGTACGAGCTCGTGAGGGATATCGGAGAGGGGCCGTAAGGTCCCGACGGGTCGATCTCGGAGAGAGAGATCTGAGAGGAGAGAGGGAGACGAATGAAATTGGGGGGGGGAGACGAATGAAATTTGGGGGGCGGCATGTTTTAGTTTTCAGTCTCCCGCTTAAGTTTTCAAAGCGTCGGAACAAAAAAAATTATGATAAGTACTTATAGCGTTTAAAATTTTCCAAACGCTATCAAAAAATAATGTATATACGATCTATAGCACTTACAACATAAACGCTATCATTCAACGTTATAAAAAAATAGCTTTGTTGTAGTGCATGTTAACTATGATATATAACATGTTCACCTTAACTGGTAGATTGATACCAAGAGTCAGTAAGCTGTTAACTATAGTCTATTACCTGTTAACTATTATTTGTAATTTGTTAACTATAATCCATTACCTGTTTACTGTAATATGTAATTTGTTAACTAAAATAGTTATCCTGTTAACTATAAGTCATTATCTATTAACTTATATCACTAGACTGTTAACTAAAATTAGTTATCTATTAACTCTTATCTTTATACTGTTAACATTAATCCCTTAACTGTTAACTATTAATTAACAAGCATCTCCTGTTAATAATACATCATTTTCTGTTAACTGATGTTTGTAAGTTGTTAACTATAACCAATTATCTGTTAAATCTTATTTGTAAAATGCATTGTATAATCAATTATATTAATTGTGGATTTTTAAATTATAACGTAAAATGCATTGTATATCACACTCCTTATCTGTTAACTTTTATTAGTAAGCTGTTAACTAAAATAAGTTATGTGTTAACTCTTATCTTTAAACTGTTAACTACAATCCCTTATCCGTTAAATCTTATATGTAATCTGTTAACTGTCAACATTTAACGTGTATATGACAAGTAGCATGTTAATCTATAATCCATAAGTTAATGTCAATCTACAAAGTAGTTCCGTATAAGTATCACATTACACCTTACAGATTTTGGATAATTTATACAAGCAAAAGGGTAAAGATTGTTTTTTTGTTGTCTAGCTAAGATTCTTCCTCGGCCTTTACAATTGTGGTTGATACACTCTCCTTTAATTCTGGATCATTCGCATCTAGTGTGCTCTTGAGATTTTTCAATTGCCGACCTTCTATTATCAGCTCCGCTGCAAGCCTTACACGTACTACCTCTGACGAATCATCGCGTAATATGCAGTACATCACCTTTTTGGAGAATAACCCGTATATAAAGGTAAACATATATTCCACAGTCGTAGCTACAAATCATAAAATATAAAACTTATTTGTGGTTAGTTTTTTGACAAAATTTCTTTAATAAAGTGATAGAGTTTATTTGCAACATACCTTCCCTTTTGAGACTCGCATGAGATTTCCTTATATTGATATGTCCTCCAGGTTTTTTCAGGATCAAATGCGGCCTTCATATGGTCCATGAAGTTGATAATTTATTAACAGGCTCAAGATAAGAATTGTGAGTTACCGAGTTATAGTGTAAAGCTAAATTTTTATCCAATCTAACTTCGATACAATGCCAATGGTCATGACGAACTATTGGGAAAATGATTATTGATCGGCCAACAGCAATATGATGCTATATATAAACTTTATATAGTTGATGTAGATAAGGATGATCTCCATAGAGTGAATGCTGTTTTACAAAAATTAGACATAAGCAGGAGCAATATTTATCATGTTAACTAATTAATTTGCAACGGTGCCACTTAAGGTAATTGTTTGCGTCGAAAGTTGTTTTTATTACTGAATCCATTACATGTTTATCAATTATAGATTTAAAATAAAATGAGTCTTTTTATAAGACTTTCTTATATAATAAAAATAAGAAAAATAAGAAAAATACAACTCTCTAGAAACACACGCATAGGACGTTTATCACCCGCTGCTTGTGTGGGCTTTTTACCTGTGCCAGGGATGTTTTTACCAATGGATCGCGCAGATCAAATCCGATTGACAGAACGAAAGCTCAATGCTCTTGCCTCACAAAATAAATAATCACAGAAATAAATAATCTCAACGAAGTGAGATTACTACTCTTCTCGAGATCAAAACAAAGCCTGATCTCAAGGAATAATGAAACGGGCATCAGATCCTTCGAATAGCTCCCTCTTTATGCTGGAGTTCACCAAGATCTCGCCAGCCTCTCTGAAATTCATGGATCACTCTTTACAGGGATAACACCTCGCCTCAATTTTTGATCCCCCGTGTATAGGGGCCCTAGGCTTGTATTTATAGACTTCAGATGCGGTGTTTTAGGATAAGAACAAGTAATTTGGCCATATCTTTAGTTAATAACCACTTAACCATATTTAGGGATGATATCAAAGCAGTTGGGGAGGTTCTGGAACGAAAGAATCCCGAGAATATCGTCAAAAACACGTTTTGGGTGTTTCTGGGCGCGAGCCTCCTTAAGGTGGCTTGGCACTGTGCGAGCCACCTTAGGGTGGCTCGGCCTTGGCCGAGCCACCTGGTCTTGGCCGAGTTGTTTTGATGCAACTAGATCACCAAGGGCTTCTCCAGACTTTCCGATTTGGTCTTGTTCCGCTGTTTATGCATTTTGTTGTTTCGTTAAGCCATATGCTTTGTTGACTTACTTCGTGCACTCGTTAGCTTTTTTATGACATCGGATAATCTCGTTTGATTTAGGTGATGATGTTTATCATATTTGCTTCGTCTTGAAGTGGCTAGCATGAGTGCGGGTCACTTCGAGGTGGCTAGCATGAGTGAGAGTCATGTAGAGGTGGCTAGCATAAGTGTGGGTCATGTCGAGGTGGCTAGCATGAGTGTAGGTCACGTCGAAATGGCTAGGTCTTTCTGATTTCCTGATTTTGATCTTGTTCAGTCATTTTGTGCATGTTTTGATGTTTATTTGACTTGTATTCTTTGCCGACTTGCTTTGCTTCTCCACGGTATTAGATAATCCTCTTTTGACTCAGATAATAACGTTGATCATATTCTCTTCATTTTGAGCTGTGTGCGAAAACCTATAGATAATTTTTGATACCTACAGATACCCCTTTCAAATTGTTTCAGTCTCATTCTTTTATAGAGGAGTCTGGAATACTTTGGATATGATACGCCCAACCTTCAATTCATCAACGTATTCAGCTTTTAGTCTATTCAGTATTTTGTTAAATAGTTGAAATTCTTCCGGTGCTACGTTTATTGTCTGACCGTTATTGAAATCTTGAACTGAGACTGGCGTGTTGATATCTGAATTAGCTCGTGTCATTGAATCAATATTGAACTGATCATCTTCGTCGGGAGTTTATATCTGAATCGCGATTGAGCTCCCCGGGGTTAATTTGGATTTGAGAATTATCTTGAGCCTTATTTTGGCTAAATTATCGACGCGTTGATCGGCATCGAACTTCATTGTAACGCGTTGACCGGTGTTTGACCTTCGTTGTAACACGTTGATTGGTATTAACCTTCATTGCAACATGTTGATCGGTGTTGACTTGCACTATAATGTGTTGACCGGCATGAACATAATTTATACTCATATGTTAACTGGAGTCTATACAGTTTAAGCTCGACTGGCGTTATAATGTGTGACAGGCCCAAGTGTAGAGGTTGTAGGACCAACTGTTAATACTGGTTCATCTGCAGGTATGGATCTTACCCTTACGTTCCGCTAGCTATTTGCTTAACCATAGGGGAGTTTTGATTGTAGGACCAGCTATTGGAGCTGATACGGTTACCACTGCGAATGCGTCCAAGGTCCTTCGTGGAAACTTCGGCTGGAATTGATATTCTTCCGGGTGTTCAAGTCACGAGACCGACTGGTGAAGTTGGTGCGTTAGTGACTTTTGTACCTTATTATGATTAGTCATTCTGTTTAGAATAAATAACTATAATACTTATAGGATTTTTGGTAAACCCTCAGCCATAAATGGGTTTGACGGGCCTTTACCGACTACCGTTTGAGTCGGGCTAGCATGCAGATTGTTTAAGTCCATTCCGCATATGACGTTATGCTAAAAGAATGAACTCTCTTAGACTTGATGCTATGATATTGAATATGTAGACTTCGCCATTCTTACGGGAATAGGCTACCTGACAATGTGCATAGGATTTTTGATAGATCCTCAACCATCAACGGATTTGATAAGCCTTTATCGACTACCGTTTGAGTCAGGCTAGCACGCGGATTATTTAAGTCTATTCTGCACGTGACGTTGTACTAAAAGAATAAACTCTCTTAGACTTGACACTACGATATTGAATGCATAGACTTTACCATTCTTACGGGAATAGGCTACCCGACAATGTGCATAGGATTTTTGGTAAACGCTCAACCATCAATGGATTTTATAAGCCTTTACCGATCACAATTTGAATCGGGCTAGTATGTAAATTATTTAAACTCGTTTCACATGTAACGTTATACTAAAAAATGAATTCTCTTGGACTTGGTGCATAAGCTTTGTCAATTTCATGAAAATAGACTAACCGGCAACGCGTGTTAGGCGTAGACTTATCTCTACTTAGGGTTCAAGATAAAATTTCCCATGCATGTAAGACATGGATTATGACGTTATTAATAACGACCTACCCCAATGTTGAATACGTGGGTTTTTGTCCTTTTTATGGTAAAAAAATAACCGACAAAGTGTGTTAGGCGTAGATTTACCTCTACTTAGGGTTCGAGATAAAATTCCCCATGTGTATAAGGTATGGATTATGGTGTTATTAATAACGACCTTCCACGATGTTGAATACGTGAGCTTTTATCCTTTTTATGGTAAAAG